GGCCGCGCCTGGGCGGGGGGGGGGCCCCTGGGCGCGGGGGCGGGCGCGGCGTCGCTGCCCGGGGCGCTCAGCTTCGCGCTCCTGGCGGCCGCCATCGGCACGGACTTCTGGTACATCATCGACACCGAGCGGCTGGAGAGGAGCGGCTCGGGGGCGCAGAACCTGCTGGGGGTCGCCAACCGCAGCCAGCCCGAGCCTCTGAGCTCCCACTCCGGCCTCTGGCGGACCTGTCGGGGTAAGGGTGCCCCCGGGGGCCGGGGGCTGTGGCCGCGAACGCCCCGTGCGCGATTCCCTGCTCGCCTGGGACCTGTTGCTCGGCGCGCACCCCTCCCCCAAGTCTTAGGGGTGGGGACAAGGTGTGCAGAGGGCTGGGGCTGCAACTGCTCCAGCTCTCCCCCTGACCGCCCGGGGTGGGGCATCTAGGGCGAGTATGGGGGCGAAGCCGCAGGCTGGGGGTCGGAACTCCACGGCCCCCAGCCCATTGATTCCTCCGTTCCATCCAGTCCAGAGCCGGTGCATGCCACTAATGAACCCCTTCTGGCAGGAGAATGTGACAGTCAGCGACTCGAGCCGACAACTTCTCAGTGAGTCCGGGGAGGCTGGGGATGGTGGGGGCACCCCAGGTCTGGCCACAGGTTCTGGAACCCTTCTCCTGACGCTGGGCTCCGGCAGTGAGGAGGGGGCGGCTGGGGTGGGCGGGAGGAGGGAGTGGGGTTAAGACAGGGGGCGGGGTCTCTCTTGCTCCACCTGTAACGCTGTGTGGTTTAGGATTCATTCACCCAATTGATGGCTTTCTGTGTGCCAGGCACCGTGCTGATTGATGATTAAGACCCACGCTGTGCCCTCAAGGAGCTCTCAGACTAGCTGGGCAGGAGAGGTGGCAATGCGTCGTTCCATTTCAGAGTGACAGGCAGCATGAGCGAGGCTGTGAAGCCCTAGCAGGCACCTACACCAATCTGGGGAGCGGAATGTTGAAAGAAAGGAGGAGGTCTCATCTCCTAGACCGCATGTCGTCGTTTATTCGTATCCTCAGTGTTTAGAACAAGGGCTCGGCAGTAGATGGGATGCCATAAACATTTCTTGAATGATTCAAGGCAGGCAGGCAGGAGGTGGAGAACAGGACCCTTCCCCCCCGCCCCCCCACCCCGGGCCACGTGTCTATCTTGTTCCTCAGGGCCTAGCACAGGTCCCTGAACATGCCAAGCTTCCTGCTGCCGTGGGACTTGGCACATGCTGTTCCCTCTATGTGGATTCTCTCTGCTCCCACCCTGCCAACTTGACTTGGCTAACTCCTACTCATAGGACAGGTTGTGGAACTTTTTGGGGGGTTAAAATCTGACTTCTTCATTAGACTGTGAGCTCCATGAAGGCAGGGATTGTCTATCTTGCCACCGCTGAATTCCCAATGTTTAGCATAAAACCTAGCATATAGTAAGGCATGTGTCAGTTTGCTGGACAAGTATGAAAGTGAATGCAAACTATGTTAGGTTGTAGGTGGAGCTCAATATCTTTATTGATTAAATGAATGTATGAGTATATGAACAAACTAAAACTTTTACTGAAGCCCAGTGTCTTGCTAGAAAACGACTCCTTGAAAATAAATTAAAAAAAAAAAAAAGCCCTGGTTTGTAGCATTTGCCAATTTCTGTGGTGTAAAGACATCCACTGCAGGGGCCGGCCCGGTGGCGCACTGCTACAGTGCGCTGCTTGGGAGCGCAGCGACGCTCCCACCGAGGGTTCGGATCCCACATACAGACCGGCGCTCACTGGCTGAGCAAGGTGCGGGTGCAACACCAAGGGTTGCGATCCCGTTGCCGGTCCCGGTCCGGTACGGGCGCGACACTGAGGGTTGCGATCCGTTGCCAGTCACGAAAAAAGACAAAAAGAAAAAAAAAAAAAAAAAAGACATCCACTGTGGCCAGTTTCAAGCTACTGAAATGATGTCTGGTGAGCCGATTGAGTCAGGTTTAGCACATCTCTAAGTAAATTCCCACTGAAGGAGACATCCCCTCAACACCTGGATTATATGGGAGTTGAGGAAAGGGGAGGTGTCATGTGCTCTGTCCTGAGCCCCCAGCTGCAGGGGGTGGAACTCTGGATGTCCTTGGAGCTTTGTTTCAAGAAGAATCAAGAATTCTTGTCTTTGAAGCTAGGGACAAGGGAGTCAAGTCCCAGTTCAGACCCTATCCAGGGCCCTCTGTGATCCTGGGATAGGTGTCTTCACTTCTCTGAGCCTCAGTTTTCACATCTATGAAAAAGAGATGTCAAAACCATGAGGGGTGTGGTCAGGATTACACGAAGTGGAATGAAAATGAATGAGAAAAATGAACCATTTCTGGCACGTCATGTAGTGCCTCGTTGCTGTGGGAGCTCCATGTTGCATGAAAGAATGATTGACTTTAAGTTTCCAGACACACAGTAAGTTCTCAGCAAGCATTAGCTTGCCCCGTTATCATTCCTTCCAGTCTCTTTTTAGATGCAGTAACATCTATGGAGTGCTGACCCTTTGCAGGCTGAGTGCTGGCATTCAGCAGACTTATCACATCAGTGGGTAAATAGATGGCTAACTACAGTTGGCACTGGGATGGCTTCCTTTTGAATCTTGATAGTGCAACAACCCTGCTTGTTCCAGGATTTGGAGAAATGGGCAGAACTCACATCCAGTGTCTATTCATCTGTGCACCCTCAGACCTGGGTCTAACTCCCAGCTTATGGAAAGAAACCTTGATTTTTTTTTCCTTGAGGAAAACCCTAGCAGGCAGACCTCTTCAGTGCCCAATAATTTGCTGCAATCCCCTGGCAGACTGAGAGCTGTTATTCAAGCCACATCATCTAGCTTGCCTTCTTCATTCTATTCAGACAGCATGGTGGAGTGAAACAAAGCAGAAATATCAAGTTCACGAACTGGTATATACCCCACAACCTCAACTATTCCATCCAGTCACAGAGAAATTTTCCATGAAACAATTTCCTTGTCAGCAAAATCCACCTTGTGTGGGTATTTTGGGTAGTCATGGGTTTGGTTCATTGGCTAGGAACTAGAATTATGTTTGGTGGAAAGGAGGTCTTCAAGTTCAGCACAATGTAAATTAAAGAGCCATGGTCTAAAACAAGCAGGCTGGCTGTATGAGCCAGGAATCTTTTGGTAGCAAGTGACAGAAACTCAAACCATACTGGCTTAAATAAGAAAAGCAATTACTGGCCCATGGAACTGAAAAGCCTAAGCCTGCTGAGATCCACGCTGCTAAACTCAGTGGGCTTTGCTTTCTTCTGTTGGGGTTCTGCTTTCAGGTAAGTCCTCTCCCATCTCAGCAACATGAATAGGAGATTATTTCTCAATAACTCCACAAAACTTCCAGTTAGGTCTTTCACTGGACCAGGTTGGGTCATGTGCTCAGTCCTGAGCCAATCACTGTAGCCAAGGGGATGGAATGTACTGATTGGCTGTAGTGAATCATGTGCTCACTCGTAACAAGGGGTAGAGATGGGATCAACCCACTATAGGTTTGGGTCTGGGACACAGGTGAACCAAGGTGCTGTTGTTGGGTCCAGAGGCAGGCAAAGCCCTCAGATGCCCTCCCACTTCACCCGAATTTGTATTCCAGCCCCAGCTCTTTCTGGTTGTGTGACTTCATGAATGGACCATTCTGAGATAAAAGGAGATTGCATAAGCCAAGCACGACACATAGTGGGAGCTCAGTTAATGCCTCCTCCTCCTGCTCTAAGCCATATTGCTTTCTTGAGCCTTAAGCTTCTCATCTGTAAAATGGAACTAATAACTGCAGACCCACCAGACTCACCAATTTACTTAGTACATATTTATTTCATCCCCAGCACTGGGCTAGCTGCCTGGCATAGAACGTGATGAGACTAGACGCTGGCTGGTTAGCTCAGTCGGTTAGAGTGTGGTGTTGGTAACACCAGGGTCAAGAGTTCAGATCCCTGTACTGGCCAGTAGCTGGAAAAAAAAAATGATGAGACAGTGTGCCAGACACTGTTCTGATCTCTCTACGTGTATCAGCTCATTTAATTTTCACAGCAGTCCCATGAGGAAGGCACTATTATTATCATCCTCACTTGGCTGATGAGGAAATGGAGGCACAGGGAGGGTAGGTAGGTTACCCAAATTTGCACAGTAACTGGAAGATCTGGGATTTGAACTTTGACATTTTGTTTCTATACTGTTGCAACAATGGTACACTGAGCATGATTTCAGTATAATGTGCAAATATGAAGACCAGAGGCCATGGCAGCCCAGAGGAGGAGCTCCGAGCCTGTTTTCTGGGGTTCAGAGTCCTGCTATCCTACACTCCTCCTTCAGACAGGAAACCAGAGACTTACATTATGTGGAGGAATAGTGAGTGCAAAGCCACGAGGCAGGACTGAGCCTGGTGTGTTCCAGAAACAGCAGGAAAGCCAAAGTTTCTGGAAGGTGGTGCAGAAAGTGCATCTTAGGGCCACCTCCTGTTTTTCTGTATCTTACCTCAGCTGTGTCTCCTGAGAGCCCATGAGGAAATTCAGGCTGGTCAGATAAGGACACCTGACCCAGAGGAGACAAATGCCTTGTCCAACATAGCATGCCAGTGGCAGAAGCTGGACCAAGGGCCAGTGGCCTGGCCTGGCCGTTCTCTGAGGAGGCAAGGCTGGAAAATCACAAGTTTGGGTTTCCAGACTTTCTGGATGCTGGGCTGTTGCAGCAATGTGGAAAATTAAAGTCAGCTTTCCCACGATGCCTGGTGCAAATTGCAAGAGTGGAGGTGACAGGGGACAGACACAGAGAAGGCTTTGGCGACATAACTTGAATTAAGAGACTGCCTGGGCCAAGGAGAGAATTTTCAGTGTGATTTATGCATAGCTTTGTGGCAGGTACGGAGGGAGGGAGGGAAAGAGAGAGGGAGGGAGGGAAAGAGAGAGGGAGGGAGGGAAAGAGAGAGGGAGGAAGGTGGCTGTGGGTCTCAACTGCTCTGGGCATGAAGGCCTGGGCTGCAGTCTCCCTTTCTGGGCTGCCCATTGAAAGTCAAAGCCACATTTTAAACTAAGAAAAAAAAGTCTTTACTTGTAGATGCCTGCTCTTTCCATATTAAAACAATGCATTTTGGATGCCACGAAGGTAACCAAGAGGCAGCCCCAGTCCTCAAGGACAGACTCAAGGACAAATATTTACAAAAAAATTTTAAGAAGTCACTTCCTTACCAGGCATAATAGGACTGAATATCTCTGAGTCATTCCTGGAGTCTCAAAGTCACATGGACAACGTTTGAAAATAAAGAGTGACATTTCCCCCTTTGGTAAATGGATCCTGAAGATTTTCTTTTGCCAGAACTTCTGGTGTTTCTGGAGAAAGATATGTCCCTGCTCTGCTTAAGAGCAGGACTGTTACTTCACTGACCACCGTGGGGCTTCCTGACCTCTCAAGTATTGTAGAAGCCTCGTTTTACCACTGCACGGTTCTTTGAAGTGTGATAATGGAACGATCACAAATACAGTTTTCCTTAGCATGAACATCTTTGCTTCTTTCTTCTGTGTGGGTTTGCTTACAACAAAGCATTGAAACGAGAAGATATCTTACACTTGGCCCCCATAT